ACATAAATATATATATATGGATGCCCATATATATATATATATATGTATATATGTATATTATTATACCTACCAACTTACGTCAATATATTAGTGAATTCATCCTCACAAAAACGAGCTCACAAGGGTTTTTTCATATCCACTAACCCTTTCGCAGGTGTGATTCCCATTTGTCTGTTCTGCGGCGGGCTGTGGCTGCGTCCGTGGCCATCTAAGAGCTACTGGACCTTCAACATTGTGTACATCCAGTTTGTGATTGCGGTCAAGTATCTGTTCCAGTTGGAAGGCTGGTACTTCAACCAGGTTGGTTTCTCCCACGAGTTTATTTTCCGAACCGGGTTTTATTCAGCAAGTTTATTTCCGTGATTGATCTTTCCTTGAGTTTATGTCGAAGATTTTTCTGTGGTTCTTTGTCTCGCTCGTTGTCTCGGGGGGAGTACATGATGTGTAATGAGAGTACTGGGAAATCCTTTGAATGTGTAGTTGATATATTGGTATGTGGTTTAATATTGGTATGTGCTTATATATATTTTATGTGTATATATATTGGTTTGTGTTTATATACTAATATGTGATAATATATTGGTATGTGTTTATATTTTAGTATGTGTTTATACATCGCTATTTTTTATATATTGCTATGTATTTGAAGCCCACATCCGGATATACACTGCACACACGTACCCGTGGCTGATTCCAATTACAAATTGCTATTCTCGGACATGTGTTTATTTTTTGTTTATTCATTCATTTTATCTCGTTCTACATTTAGAATCCAGACAATAGGTACGTGTACGTCATAGGGATTCAGAAGCAAATGCGGGGCAATTTCGCCTGGAGTGAGACCATGGATTTGGCCCTGTTTGTGGCTATTTTATACCACCGCCACATGTCCGAATTTTTGGGCACATGGGATGATAAAGAGCACAAACGAATCAGTCAGTTGCTCACCAATCCGAAAATACAGGACACTAAAACGGCCCAATTCGGTGAGTTTGGATATCCAGTTTAGTTGTTTGTTCCGCATTGCGCGAGTTTTAGAAGAAAGGATCCTAGTCTACGCGTGGATCTGTGTTGAGAGGTAGGTGTTCTAAAAC